ACTCGCGACATATTTATGGCCAAAAAAACAGCGCTCCCGCTTGAAACTGAATCGCTTTTAAATGACTGGGCGAATTTGCGCGCGATCTCACGAATTTGTATGCAGATTTAAGAAGAAAGATGTCTAAGTGTGTTTTCCATTCGTGCAGACGGATTTCGTTATTTATTTTACTTCGAAAAGCTGTTTTTTTCTAGATCTGCGTATCGTAGTTTATGTTTTGTGTAAATTAAATTGTTTTATTTTGTTTTTGTTGCGAGAAAATCTAAGTAAATCGTTACAATAATCTTTCAATTTGATTTATTAGCAACAGACATTTTCATATCAGAAATTTCCAGAATGAGGTAGGTCACCTACCTACCTACTTACGTAGAGATGCACCTAAATTTAAAAAAAAAACGAATGTACTTGTGCAACTTTTTTTCCACTATGACAATAACTAGTCTTTCATAAAAAGGTAAGTGTATCAGACGATAATTTATTATAATCTAGGCTGTCAGTCAGACATATTTTGATTGATTGATTAGAAGGGACAAATCGTTCCAGACTGATTAAAACTATAAAACTATATGATGCCACCTGCATACTGTTATCCGTAAATTAGAATAATAATAATAAGATAGGTACCTACGTATTTTACTTAATGATAGATTTCAAGTCCTTTCTCTTATCCTGTCAATAAAACCTTCAACGTTCTTGCAAATTATATTATCTGAAGTACCCATGAACTCACATTTGTTCAAGAAATAAAAACGTTCACGCTTATCCGAATTGTAAATTCTAAAAAATCCAGATTATTCCAGTTATTCTACCAACAATTTACATTACGAAAAAGTAGCAATAGCAAACGCATTATAAAAACGTTTACACATTTGTATATATTTTAAGAGAATTCAATTTGTCTAAATCAGCCGTAAACCGATAAAAAGTTAAATACTGTAACAAAAATAATCTTAACTAGCCATTAACTAACTATTTAATTCTTTTGGAAAATTATGTAGACAAGTATGTTTTAAACAAATGTAAGTACTCCTGATAAAAAAATACACGAATCTAGACTCACAGACGCAGAGTCTGAGTAAACTAATCAGTCAAAAGTTGGTTCATTCATCTGGTTTCTGTCTGTTGCTGAACCTAATTAACCAGTCCAACTTTTAACCAGCTCACCTCTGAGGTGCATCTTCAGCTCTTCGCATATAGCCCAGATAAATGCTGTCCCTCGACCTAACCTTCAAGAAAAGAGCGTATTCCTTTTTAAAAGGCCGGCAACGCACCTGTGACTCCTCTGGTGTTGCGGGTGTCCATGGGCGGCGCTGATCGCTTACCATCAGGTGATCCATCTGCTCGTATGCCTCCTATTCCATAAAAAAAATTGGAATTGCTGGAAGGCGACCTAAACAACGTTTCTCTGTTTTTATGGGATAAACCGGTAAATGTGGATCACCTAATGGTAAGCAATCGGCGTCACCCATGGACACCCGGGACACAAGAGGGACACAGAAATAATGTCAATGAAAAAACAAGTGCTTTACCGGCCATTTGGAGATTAGGAATGTGAGGATTTTTTGGGATTCAAAGATTGGGGAGATGAGGGGAGGGGCATTGTTTCACGTCGGTTTTCTGTGAGGCCGTGGTATCACTACAGTCGAGCCGCTTGGCTCTCCCACACTTAACTGGTCTGCTTACTACTCTTTCCACCTGCTAATCTTACGATACTAAGTACGCTACGCATCCAAAGATTTTGAAAAGATACTTAGTTTCATGGAACTTTTACGTATAATTGACTGATGGTCGCGACCATCTCTTAACAGTAACAAAGACTTACGAAGCGTGGGACAGCAACTAAATTTAATTAACCCTTCATTTGTACTATAAGGTGTATTATTTTTTTTAAAGGGGATGGTGAAAATATCCATTAGAATCATGCCCTTTACCCTAACTTCCTACGCCTAAGCCTAAATAGGTGACACATAACGACATTATGGTTTCCACCAACCTGTCCTACACCGTGACATCTATTTCGTTTTTATCTCAAAGTAAAATGGTTCTGTCTCGGTAATATAGAAGTTTTACAAAGACAAAAAAGTTTAAAACATAAAAAACTAGAACCATTGGAAAATGCAAACTGCTTTTTTTATTTTAATTTTATACATCCAAAGTACTCCTTATTGCAAGTTAAAAAGAAATAGATTTCACGGTGCAACTGATACCAAACATAATAACAAGTCAGGGGTTAACTTAGGTGCTCACGACGTTAAATAACTATTAGTTATAAAGATAGTTTATGAGTAATTGTTGAAATCCATAGCCTCCAAAGTCACTCACAGAACAATACTTGTCTACTTACATAAAAAGCTTTTTTTAAGGGGGGAATATCATCGAATGTCTGTTCCCGCTTGGGTGAGGCGGGAGGGAGTGTCAGACTCTTACTGACTAAAAACCACCCCGTTCCTTTTCCTGCAATTCCGGTATAAGAGCCCCGGTAATCTGTTAAGTTCTCCGCGACAATTAAAGAGATGGTTAAGTAGTAGTTGTTGAAAGATATAAGCCTCCAAGGTCACTCACAGAACAATACCTGTCTACTTACATACATAGCTAAGTAAATAAGAGTATGTATTATTATTAACACACACCTTTGCATCTTCCAGAGTGGAAGCCACCGCCTGCTGCATTATTCATCAGTTTCTTTCTCTGGAATGAAGTTCAAATGTAAATATCGTCTCGTGTTGAAAGGAGCGGTCTTGTGAGTTCATTGTATGTATTTGTTACGTTATTAAAAATACAAAGTGTCTACTATAGTTGGGTCATTACGAAATGTGCCAACTGTCATAAGTAATGTTTATCTGAACACTTATCTTCACTGACGGACAGACTGGCAGACTATTATTTGTTGACGTTTCAAAAGTATCAAATTACTGTTTAATTGAAAGAGATGTTTTGACTTTGACTTTGATCTCTCGTTCACACTTAAGCAGCATTGTCATATACCTTTGACGTGACAGTTCGCATATTTGTAATGGGCCAACACTGAAACTAAATAAATAGGTAGGTACTTACTATTTAATACACACCGGAGAAATCGCATCATCATCATCATCATCCACAGCGTATAAATGCCCACTGTTGAGCAAAGCCTCTTCTCACACGGAGAAATCGCATAACATACACACAAAAATATATATACATACAGACGAATTAAAAAGTCAGGTAAAAAATATTGAAGGAAGTCCCTGAATCCCTGAATCCCCAACAATAGGTAGGTACTAAAATTTTTAACCCCCGGAATTAACGCACTTGTAACGCCTCTGGTGCTCCTGGGCGACACCGATTGCTGATATTCAGGTGATCCGTCTGCTCGTCTACCGGCTCATCCCATAAAAACAAAGTTTAAAGTTCATATTTCGATCTCATATCGCAGAAATGATGTCTATGAAAATATTTATGAATCTGTAATTTCGCTTGATATGATCAATTACTTTATGTTATACAAAATTATTATTGGGTTATTATTGAGTTTCAAAATTGTCCATAGTGGCGCCAAGCACAAAATTATGTGTGGGAGATAGGAAATATCTCACATTTGATGTCGGTGAAAGAAGAATACCACTTCAGATGTCGGAGGGTGGTGTAGGCGATGTTGGACGAGACCCTCTTCGTCAAACATATCGGTAGAGGTATGTGTACGCAGCAATAAAACAATGAAATCTTCGTAATGAAAAGATTATTTATTTTTGACATTACCTACAGTTTTACTTATTCACACTTTAATTAGCTAAATAAAGCCGACATTTCCTACTGACTACTCTGAGAAGAAATGCCGAAACAAACTCAAGTTCTCAGTCACTTTCAAAGTGCAAATATGGTTAACAAAATGCATTAAAGATTAGTCCACTCATAATGAAAATTTTTCACTGCTATAATATCTGACTCAATAACAAAATCATAACCCTGAGTCTAACGATTGCAATCACTGAACAATGCCTGACAGTATTCGTTGAAGTAGTTGTTCGCTTGGAGTCCAAGGTAGGTAATAGTGAGTGCTGTGGTGCAATGTTGAACTCTAATCAATCTCCCTTCCTTTTCGACGAACGTTACAATTAATTATTGAAGCGCGCCATCTCTATTTCTTTTGTCATTATTTCGTTTTGAAAATCGAAGTGCCGTACTAATGACCTTTCCGAAATGTATAAATACGCGATATTATAATATCACTTCACTGTCACTTTTTACCACCTCATTAATTTTATACTACAATCAATAGCGTTAATAATACCGCTTAATACCGCCTTGGCATAGACACTAAGACGCAGACGCATACCCAGTTCCAAATTCAAATATTTTATTTTGAAATAGGACCGTCAAGTCAGTTCCGAAGTCACATAAAACGTTAGTCTATGACAGACATGGGGGTGGCAAAAGTCCGGGGCCCGCCAACGAGGCCTCCCATAAATATCAACCGTCTGAGACATTGTCAACCGGCCACCCTAATTTACGGCTAGTAATTAGGAGTTTGCACTTTGCCAAAACGATTTGCATCGATCGCTACCCTACAAATTTATTGTTATTCTAGAATACTTTGAAATCAAGCTGGATCAGAGTTAATTTATAATAATGCTCGAATGATATAATTTTGTTGAAAGTTTTGTTTTCAATTTTCTAAGTTTTACATGACGATAATCTTAAAATGTTACTGGTAGCGACATCTAGACGGTATAGCTGTAAATAAATTAAGGGAATGAATGAAAGCTATGCATAACGTTACGTCATCCGCGGTACAGATGTCACTAGTAGCTCACTGAGTAAAACGATTAAAATATACGTACATAATTTATCACATAGTTCAAATATCAAAATAAATGATAAAACAATAGTTTGCAATCATTTAACTGACTGTTACCATGTATAAGCTTACAATAAAAAGTAAGAAATTGTTTATTTATTATCTGTGGTGTATAATTCTCCGGCTTCTCTTCCCGCACTTTTCAATGTCAAATAAACCAAAACAAAACTTATTATTAAATTTGCTTGTTCTAAAAACTTTGTTTTCATCGAGTATTTGTTATTATAAATAATAGTAAGTGATTTATAATGGACCCCTATGAAGTTGAATTCATTGGAGAGAACAGGATTATAAGTGTAATACCAAATTTTTCTTACGACAAAATCTACTTGATTTGCGGTGAATTTGGTCCATTTCGTGCGGGTTTGCCAATAAATGTACCTCTATGGCTTGCCATGATGTTGAAACAAAAACAAAAGTGCCGTATAGTGCCTCCAGACTGGATGGAACTCGATACTTTGGAAAATATCAAAGAAGAAGAGAAGAGATCTAGGTTAGTTTCCAGAGTTTGTTTTGAAACTGTTTATAATATTTCATTACGGTTTTGAGTGAAATTTAATTGTTCTAAATATATATGCTGTATCTAGTAGCATCCACTCAATCCTATGGTACCTATATAGTACACTAAATCAGTGCCCTTATCTCTCCAGGTTCTTCACAAAAATGCCAAATGAACACTACATGGTAGAAGCTAAACTAATCCTCGGAACAGCATCCGAAGACGTCCCAAACGCAGCAGAAATAAAAACTATTATAAAAGACATTTGGGATATACGCATGTCCAAGTTACGGACATCTATGGACGCACTGATGAAGTCCGGAGGTGGTTACGGTAGGCTGGACCACTTGACTATGATGGAGATTAATTCTGCAAAGCCATTGCTGCCATCGGCTATGGATTATTTACTTCAAATTCAGAAGGTAAGAAGTGCTATTTCATTTGTATCCTGAATTTCCAGACAGTGCTACTACGCACAACAGTACACCGTTTTTGCAGAGGAACAGGATAACATAAAACATCTTAGTATTATGATTTTAATAAAGGGTGATCTGTATGTACACTTATTTATTTTTTTATTTCAATTAGATAGTATATCATTACAGTCATAAAACCGAGGCATTATGCATTTCAAATAATTATAAAAGAAAAAAAAACAACAAAATTGAACAGTCCTTGAATAAAACAAACAATAAGAATAAGGAAACCTTACTAACTATGACAGGTTTTAATACCAATAAGCAAAATAAACAATATAAAATAAATAAGACATATACAATACAACATAAAATAAAATACAGTTGTGTATTCATACACTTAAATGTTAAAAGATTGGCTGATGGATACACCAAGTTTAATTGCAGTCATTCACTGAAAAATGTCGAAATTCAAACCCAACTCACCAAGATAACAATAAAGGTTTTAGTTAAATAGAACGACATCAAACTGGTAAGCAAATCTTAAATCATATTATTTTTCTGTTTCAGAAAGCGCAACAAAGAGTACAACAGCCGTCAGCTCTCAACACATCGACATTCAGCCAATCAGGAAGCTCTCAGAACACTTAGCACGGTGATTACTTTCTAATGTGCAATATCTATGTTTAAGCTATGTAAGTTATTTTTTAATTGTAGTTAATTCTGTATGTAACTTTTTTGTACGAATTTAGTAAATAATTTAAGTATATTGCATTTTTATTTCATTTTATATGCTAATAATAATTAATTACTAAGTTACAAATACCACTTCAGCAACCATTTGACAAACTAATAGTTCATTCCTATGTGACTGACACAACCTGGGTTCAAATTTGAGATTTTATGCTCAACATCAATATGTATGTCAACTAGTGAGGCAGTGAGTTAACCCATTAAAATTACAAAAGTAGTTTCTAAACATTGGAAATAAGGTCTTTAATATAGTTAGTGGAAAGTGGTCACCGGTGACCGCTTGGTGATATATGGGTTAAAAGTAAAAAGGAGTACCCTATCCTTAGCCTATCGCCCTTTGGATATGGTACTCCTTTAGGAACGGGGTCGTTTTTAGTCAGTAAGAATCTGACACTCCCTGGGTCAGGCAGGAGAAGTGAAAAAAAGCGTTGTCCTTTATCAATGTATAATTAACCCATTAACGCCCAAATTAAAACTACGATAAATTTTACATAATCAATGTTTATTTACGGCACAAAAATACTTTCTTATGAACAAAAAAAATAAAGAAAAAAAATGTTTTTATAAAAAGTTGGGTTTTTTGGGGTGTACTAAGTTTAGTACAATGGGCGCCTAAGAGTGATATTTAGCAAAGCATCCTCTATCCAGACACAGTGTTTTCAGGCACTTTCCACAAGCGGTTTTGACTCTATTGGAGCACACAGTACATCTAAGTTGGTTTGGTATTTTTTCCGGATTATGGCCATTGTTTGTTCTTTCTTCTCCATCAATCCTAGAGGAAGACGGTCTATTCTTATAGGGCTTTTTATTACTCAGATATGTACGTGCAATATGTCTGCGGAATGCTAGCTGATCCATTCGACTATCTGAGTTTGCAATGCAATGTAGTCTCCATGCATTGGAAATTGCCATATCCACCATATAAGTGAACAAGACCCACCACCACTTTTTTCCTCTCACCCCAATTCGGTAAAGTCCGATGGACTGATCCATCTGATCAACCCCGCCCATCCCCTTGTTATAATTTTGGAATACATGCGGTATGTCTACGTCTACTTTTTGTTTCCTTATGGGACACCACCTTTTGACTTTTCCAAGTGGTTCTAAGTAATCGAAATTTGTTCCAATAGTACAAACATTATTGTCTTTCCACCTAACTAATAAAATTTCGTTAGACTTATCAAATCTGTGGTCGTATTCCGCTCTAGGCCTTTTCCGCATCTCCTTAGATGTAATCAAAGGACACCGTTTGGTTCTGTTCTCTCGTAAGGTACCAGTAGCCCTGTAACCGAGCTTCTTCAAATCAACAAGCAAATCGTAATTGGTAAAAAAATTGTCAAAATAGACGACGTGTTCTTCAGGTTTTGTTGGCGCTTTGTTCAGCAAAGTCTTCACAACGCGAGAGCCAAGGGGATCAGTAGTAGCTTCTAACGATTTACCGCAATACACATCAAATGTATAACAATAGCCATCGTAACTAGTCAACGCCCAATTACGATATCCATATCGCACAGGCTTACCCATAATAAATTGCTTGGCCGAATGGTGTCCGTAGTACTTGACCATTGATTCGTCTATCGATAAATCTTTATGTAACATCCCAAATTGACAAAATTTTCTTTGTAAAACATTACAAAGTGGCCGCAATTTGAACATTTTATCATTAGAGTTATTAGCCAAAGTATTATCTGCAAAATGCAGATTTCTTTTTATTTCCATGAATCTATTTCTTGACATACATTCTGAAACTAATGTTACACCTAGATCATCATCTAAGCTCCAGTACGACCTCTCGCTAGGCAATTTGTGGTAACCGGAAAGTATAAGTATGCCTAGGAATTTTCGAAGTTCCTCTTTACTGAAAGATTTATCGTGCCTATTGTTTTGCCCAGCATATATTGTGCTTTGTGATGTGATAAGTTCTAGCACTTCGTCGTCAAAAAGATATTCAAAGACTTTCACAGGGGTCATGTCTTTTAGGATATCTGAAACTTTAGAACATCGTTCTTCAAGAGCTGCAGATTCTGTAATAGACCGAGAAATGGAATAAACAGGCACACACTTTCTCCAAGTTGGCACTCCATCAACTTTTCTTCTCTTTGGCGCACTTTGCGAAGACGATGATGCCATTGTTGTGAGAGGTTCATCATCGTCGGTGCTCCATTCATCCTCGACAGCACAAGAACGTCTGTGAGTAACCACTTCTACGTTACCTGGAACATCCTGAGGTAATTCGTTATGATATAAGTTATCCTCACCACCTTCCTCTTCATCAGTGACAACGTCTGGATCAGGTGGCAACATAATCACATCATAAGTAGCATCGTCGTCACTATCCTGGTTGATTATATCGTGTAAAGCTTCTTGTAAACCAAAATAGCTATTTTCTTGTGTGAAAGTATGTCTATAAGCCATTTTATAAATGTATAGTGGTTTCCTATTGTCTCCTGAAAACCCAGAAAAAGGGTAATACGTTATTGAAAATTAAAACAAATGCCACAAGTAAATATAATGAGCAAATGACTGAAAATTCTAATAAAACATGTTCATATTGTAATGTCTTACATTACGTTGTCAAGCGCCCAATGTACTAAAGTTAGTACAGCAGCAGTTTGGGAGTTATATTATCAAAGTCTATAAATGAAATTAACTTTTTGATATTTATTATGTTAGGTTATAATGTTATAAAGTAAAAAAGGACCTTTTCTGACTTTTTGAATAACTTAAACCATGTAAATAAAATAAAGAAGTACTCACCGAAGAACACGAAAAAATCACTGATACAAAATCTCAAATTACCCTCATACAATTTAATAATTACGTTTCGATTTATGTATACACCTACTGCAAGGTCTGCTAGGGACCCTTTCAAATTATTGCCAGAGCAAAAATATTAACTTTGTAAGTTTTATCGTAGTTTAAAGTGGTGTACTATATATAGTACGGCAGGCGCTAATGGGTTAA